ATTAATTTCATTGTGATGTGTTGTTATCATTATTGACAGAAATGCTGGAGTGATTCACTGATGGCTGGTACAGAATGACCCATTCAGATTAGGTGACAGGTATCACTCATACCCAAAACCTCACAAGTGTGCATTCTTGCTCTGGACTGGGCTAGGGGTAGGAGAGGCTGATAAGAGTTAACAACATCACTTTTAGTTCTGCAGCCTTAAAGAGACAAAGCCCTGTTTCCACCAAAGAAAGCTTTATTAAAGATTTCTTTTTTATTTTTTATTTTTATTTATTTGACAGAGAGAGGCACAGTGAGAGAGGGAACACAAGCAGGGGGAGTGGGAGAGGGAGAAGCAGGCTTCCCACCAAGCAGGGAGCCCGACGCGGGGCTTGATCCCAGGACCCTGGGACCATGACCTGAGCCGAAGGCAGACGCTTAACGACTGAGCCACCCAGGCGCCCCCAAAGAAAGCTTTAAAATCCCTCCCAGCATATCCAGAGCATCCCAGTGCCGCTTAACCAACCCAAGGATACAAAGAGATGAACCATAATCTTCCTGTTAACCAGGGGTTCTCAGACTTTAGTATCCATCAGACTAAATTTGGAGGACTGTTTAAGCAGATTGCTGGGCTCCATCTCCATCAGTAGGCCTGGGATAGAACCCCAATTTGTATTTCTAATAAGTTCCCACATGGTACTGATGATGGTGGTTCCAGCACCACACTTTGAGAACCACTGAGTTCATAGACATGGTTGAGGTATGAGAACCCAATGCCAGGGCAGGAATGTGTGCAGAAATCTTTTCATGAAGTTGAATTGCCTGATAACCCCCGTAAAAATTAGGACTTTTTTTTCAGCCCCAGTGTTTTCAACCCTGAACTCCCCTCTTGTTTGTAAATTTATTGGTAGGGGAAATAGTTTTGTGAAGTTGTTTTTAAGCTTTTATGAGCCTGATCAAACCTATAGACACTCTCTACAGAAAAGCCCATATACACATACACAGAAACATTGCTTACAACTTCAGGAGGTGCCGGGACACCTCTTCCACCAGCCCACCCACTGACACCAAGGAATATCAGTAGAAAAACTATGCCCTAAGGCAGTCTTGGGTTCACGTGGATGTAACAAAAAGTCCCTTCTTATACTTAACCTTTCAGTTAACTCATTTTTAAAACAAGAATAATAATAATATTCTTGCATCAAAGTTTGTGAGGATTAGCTGATGTAATACATGAAAAGGCATAATTTGATAACCAGAAACACTAAATAATACCTTTTTTTCTCTCTTCATAGTCTTGTTACAATAAACTCTCATTCTTCAGGCAAGTGGCTGCCTCTCCCTACTAAGGAAAGATCAGGAAGTATAAGAAAGAAGAGCCCTAAGTGTAATAGTTCAAGACCTTACTCTACTCCCATCACATTCTTCTGCTAAAATCTGGTCACAGGTTGCCATATCATGGTTCTCTCTGTGAGTCACTGAGCAATGGGATCTAGCAAGCCCAGGCCTGGCTCTGTGACCTGAGAGTCTCAATTTACTTGCCCTGAAATACTCCACTTTGCAAATGTCCAATGTCTTGTCATGTCCCCATGTTAATGCCTCCTGGCAGAAAGATAGAAATGTAAGGTTCTAATAGGGGTTTGTTTCTAGGCTAAAAGATGCTGAGTCTTGAGAAATAGTGATTAAGGGTAAAGCCTGATTCTCACTGTTTCTACAAAAGTAAATAAATACATTGATAGACCAATCAGCAGGCATTTATTTAGCACCTACTGTGTACACTGTGTAATAGATGACACGAAGAGGAGTAACACGTGTTCCTATGCTATGCCAACTCACAATCCAGCAGGGAAAATAGATGTATGTGAAAATATACCAAACACAAAGTGAGCCTTGGCAAGGGCAATGATTGTGGTTCATACAGAGGTTCAAAAGTACAGGAGGGAGAAATTAATTTTAACAGGGATCCATTGAAGTCTCCTGGGCAAGGGGGGATTTTTAGCTGGCCCCTAAGGGAGGAGTGGGACTGTGTTAGGTGACTATAATGGAGAAGGACTTTATAGGCTGTGGAAGTAGTTTGAAGAAAAGACTTAGAAAAGTGCTTGGTTTAAATTTGCATAATTATGTTTTAACAAGTGTGACTATAATATAGGGGTGGGGTGGAGGTATCGAACTTGAGGCCAGAGAGAGAAGTTGGAAACACGTGTGGGAAGGAAACCAAAGGCCAAGTGAGGAGCTTTGGCTTTACTCATCATGCAGCGGGGAAGGATTGAGGGTCTGATACCTCAGGCAGGTCTGTTTTTCCAAAAAGAGAGCTGGTGTCGCTGTGAAAAGACAATAGAGAGCAAAAAGCAAACATGACCTGGTAAGGTGTTGGGAACCTGAACTAAAGCCAGAGCAGTGGGAGTAGCCAGGAGGGCACGTGGGGCAGACGTATGTGAGACGCTGCATTTTGAGAATGGTTGATGACACGTAGCAAAAAAAAAAAAACAACAGAGGCAAGCTGAGAGGGCACACCCAACCCCAGGCGGGGTTGCTGCATAGAGCAGACCATGGGCTCCAAGGAAGAAACTGGCTGGGGGCCCAGGGACTAGAGGGTGAGGAATACTTCCTGGCTGTCCCAAGAAGACTTTTGTCCTTCCTAGAATTCCCAGAAGGGTAGCAACTGACCATCTGAATCACTGATGCCTGGACATGGGTCCTCAGCCCGGCAGCTTCAGAAGTCCTGCAGATCTTTTCAAATAACTTTCAGGCCCTTTCCCATGGGATTTTGATCTGGAAACCTGAGGTGGGGCCCAGGCATCCATTCTTTGTAAAGCTCTCAGGTGAATGTGATGCACATCTGGTTTGGGGAACCGCTATGGGACCTTACTATTAGTCTGGGAGGTGTATAGAGACCCTGGCTCAGTACATACTTGTGCTGATGAAGACTGTGATGAGCTGAAGACCTTGAGCTTTAGTATCCAGCAGTGTCTCAAGCACAGTGACCTTCATCGAATGTCTCAGGAGGGAACCCCTCCTCCAACTCTAGGCCTCAGTGACCACACCAGGAGATGGGAGAGGCTGCATGCTTGATGGGTTCCCCTGAACGACCCAAGAGGACAATGTACATACAAGTCATCATTTTCACCCTTGTCCTCAATTCAAAAAGGAGGGTTTGGCTGTGTCACAGGGATCCCATAAGAGAATCTTATTACAGGATGCTTTGAGACTTTAGAAGACAGGCTACATAATAATACTAGCCATTTTCTGCCAGGCTTATACAACATTCATAGTACTTTCACTGCTATTTTTGTTTTTATTTCTCAGAAAAATAATGCAGTACAAAGGTAAGGCTGGTTACACGGATCCCTTCTGGACACTGGGCTCTGTGTGATTTGGTGACTCATGCAAGGTCAGACAAACCAGAGCCAGTTCTGAACCCGCCATCCTCCTGAGCTCCGGTTCTGCTTCTGGGCCATAATGGAGAAGGGTAACATAAAGGCATTTTTCTCTCCTTGTAAAAGAGGGAAAAAATGGGGGGACGGGGGAATTATTTAAACACACCTCACTCATACTGCAATCACTGCATTGTTTTTCCTGTTGAAACACCCTGTTGGTTTTTAAATCCCTTTAAACCTACCCGGCACCTGTATGGCCCAGATCCAAGAATTATTACCGAACCCTTCACTTTTTATATTTAGCCACATAGGAGTTTCTGTGATGGTATCTGGCTCTTGGTTCAGTTGAAAATTTCAGAGCTTCCAGAAGTTTTCTTCTTCCATAGAAGCTAGAAGCATGCAGTGCTCAGACATGATTTCTTAAATTTTTTATTTTTATTTTAATCAAGTATGTCTCCCCACTTAGGTTCTCCTGCTGGGTAAAATGGTATCATGGCACCACCCTGTATTGTTCCCGTGTGAAGATCCTCCTGAAATATTGACCAAAAGAAAGGGCAGGGGAGGGATGGGAGAGGGGTGGGTGGTCTCCATCAGCAACTTATGGTTTGTGGGATGACCTCTCTTCAGGGCAAGAACTGAGGCTGAAAACATAATGAGAACTTCCCAGCAAATTCATTATAACACAGCATAATGTGAGCTCACTGGGCACAAAAATAGGCTGAAGGAAAGTGACTCCCACATCAGACCTAATTAAATACTTTGATGTCAGAAAGCAGAGCAGGGAGGGGTGGAAAATCAAATCAGACCAAAGTGAAGGACCTAAATTCAAATGGAAAAAAGAAATATTTCTCTCTCTCTCTCTTCCCCCTCCACCTCCCCTATACACACCACCCCCCCACACTGCCTCTTTCTCTGTGCCTCTGTCTCTCTCTCTCTCCTTTTCTTCCTTTGCCATGTAGGAAGAATAAGATTCAGGAACAATAGGTTGTAAATTCTTCAGCCAATTAGTCCAGTAACTTACTACTGTTTATAATGCACAGAATGTCACAGGCTGGTTTGCAAACTCCCCAAGTTGGTTTGTTAATAACAGGAAGCTAGCACTTCTCAGTACAGTGGATCAGCTACACGGGAAAATAAATGCAAAAAACCTGGAGGGGAATAGCAGCAGACCAAGAGTAGCCTTGATTTAATTTAACATTTGGGGGTCCACACACAAATGAGCATTTTAGTAGGCTTCATGGTGGAAGTTGCTGTCATTTGTAAAATATTCTGGCCAATTAGCTAATAGTGTGCTTGGATTTCTCCTGTTTTGATACAGTAATACTAAGTACATTGTGAAGCCCAATTATACAAATCATCCCCATATGCCATACCAGTCTTTCTTTATGAACTGTGTTTATAAATCCTGTGTGAGGAAATGTGTACTTCAGCAATTTAGACCATGTGTAAAAACATAGCCAATGGGATTGTCAAGAAAACAAGTTCCAGCCTAGGAAATCCTAATGTGTTCCGCTGGAATAACAGGAGGGTGCCGGGGAGTGCAATGCTCTGCTTAAATACATATTGCTTTATAGTGTTTAGCCAATTTAGGGGCTTCCGCTTCCCTTTCTGTTACTTTATTCTTCTTTTCTTTTAGGATCCAACCTTGGAGTTTTTGAGAAAATTTGGGATTGGTCTTCTCTCAGGCACAATAGCCTCAGTCATTAACATCCCTTTTGATGTTGCCAAAAGTAGGATTCAAGGGCCTCAACCAGTTCCTGGAGAGATCAAGTACAGAACCTGTTTTAAAACAATGGCAACAGTCTACCAGGAAGAAGGGTAACATTCTTATTTTAATAAATGTGCAGGACTCAAGTACTGTTAAAAGTATATCGTACTTCCATTTTGCTGAGAGCCATTAAGCCCTCCTAAATTGGGGGTGTGTGTGTGTGTGTGTGAAAAGCTCTAGAGAATAATGACAAACTTTGTGAGATAACACAATGATGAAATGTTGGCAACGTGTTCTTACACCATCCAGAACCTTGGGCCACCATCATACAACCTGCTGCATGTTTATCTTAGAATCCTCAGATGAACCTTTTTCTTGTCAGTTTGCATAATATGCTATAATACACCCTGTTAACATGTGGGCAGGAGAATGATTGTCTTCTAACTGTAAATCTAATCAAAATGTCACCTCATTTTAGCCCCCTGGGAGAATTAAACATGAGAGTTCTGTGAAAGTAGCTTTCTTTCAAATATCTGAAGCACATGTTTTTTTCTGCTAGTCTTTTTTTTTAAGTGTTACATCTGTCTCTTCATCCCGCCTCACTCAGATCTTATTCTCAAGTAAACAAGTAATATTTTATTATTTCGACCTACACTATGTCATCTTTCCTTTTGTGAAGACCGAGTTTGTGGTCTTTTAAATTCAATTACAAAAGTCATTTTGTCCATATACATAGCTGTCTTGAAAGTAAGACCTGTGTTCATAGCAAAAACCATCTCGCTGAGGAAAGTCATATTTCTGGTTGGACATGATCAGCATAGCTTGGGCAATAAAGAATTCATTAACTCTTTCCCTTTGTCCAGTTTGCGGCAGAAAATATATAGCCAGATATTGCCTGGTTTGGGATATGTGTGATTTCAAATAAATTTTCTTGTAGATGCTGGGTCAACATCTCAGTAAAGCTGGTCCATTCTATTTTCAGAATTCAGAATTAGTTTCAGAATTAAGAATTAAAAATGTTGCTCTTTCCCTTCCTATTATAGGATTTTAGCTTTGTACAAAGGCCTGCTTCCCAAGGTTATGAGGCTTGGACCAGGTAATGATGTCTTTATTACTTCTTCCTTCTTTGTTGTTCTGCTGTCTCTTTTTTTCATATCTGTGTCGATCAGCAACATGATATGTTGATCACACTGTCAAAGATGGAAACCGTGAGGATATAAAGTTGTCTATGAGTATGCAAGACACTGAAGACATCTGTTAGAAATGTTTTCCACCTTTGTTTATAAGGTACTGTTTAAGACTTTGCTGGCGGCTGGTTGAAGCCAAAGCCCAGCTTAAGTCAATAGGAAAGGCTCCCCAGCCCATTGGGAGTTTGAGTGAGCAAGGAGGCTGTGGGGGAGGATTTTCACTGAGCCCATAAAACTCTCCTGGTGCCCCCCCCAGTTCATTCTTGTTCCTGCCTCAACTTCATTTCAAAAACAAAAAAGAAGGGTAACTTGCCTCCACGAAGCGCAAGAACCTCTTGTCCTCACGGTCCCCCGGGGGGGCTGTGGTGAGTGTAGCACCCAGGGAGTGGCGGCGGCGCAGGCTGGCGCTCACCTTCCTGGCGTCTGTCAGCATGATGGTGGAGGCTCCTGGCTCAGGGCCTTACCTGCGGACGCCAGCCCACAGAAAACCGGCTGCTCTTCCCACAGGGAGAGTCAGCTGCCTCTGTGTAAATAGATAAGAGCATAACTGCTGCAGACCCAACCGCCTCGGCAAGCAGTCTTGGATTAGAAGCAACCCTGTGTCTCAGTATAGCCAGGCTCACCTACTTTGGTGTCCCCGTGTCCTCTCCCGAAGCTTCCCCTGCCCCTCGCCCCTCGCCCCTCGCCCCTTCCCTTCCTCCCTTTTACCACCACGGTCCTCCTGCCCTGCCACGCTCGCACACGGGCACAGTCACCGTCCTCGAACCTCAGCTCAGCGCGCCAGCACTTCTACCATCCTGAGGTAGAGGACAGCTCACCCTCTCATGTGTTTAGAAAACACTTCTGCAATTCTTGGTCCACCTCTCCCAACCTTCCCAGGCATTTAAGCATGGATTTGCTTCACGTTGGAGATGGAGACTTGCCTCCTGCTAGTCATTGGCCCGTGTGTAAGAACAAAGGCAATGACAAAGAATATTGGTGATTTTGTGCAACTCTCTCTGCGACTTTGTGGTGTTTTCCCTTCACCACACAGTAAAACCCCGATGGTAGACCTAGTATTAGAGAAAATCATAGGAATGACCCTAACCAAGCTTTCTCAGGAGGGGATGGGCCTGAAAAAAGTGGTGATCAGGGAGAGTTTACCTAAAACAGTAATTGACTGGAACCTTAATCCAAAACTCTTTTTTTTTTTTTTTTTTTTTATTTGAGAGAGAGAGAGAGAGAGAGCACAAG